AACTCGATATATTAATACAATAGGTATATAGATAATACACTAATACCATTAATAATATTACATACGTCTATATAGGTGTGGAAATAACCGAATATGGCAATATACATTATATTTTTTTAATTGTATCTACACAATAAACGAAGGGAATGTCGATAATGCAACACAATACTTAATCATATATTATAATAATTAATATTTAATTGGTAGGTACCGACTTCGTATTTATAGTTCATTACCATTTTACCAATGTTTTATCTTGATTTTACAATTCTATGTACCTAGCTTGTATAGTTACATGTTTGACCGAGATAAACAAATAAACAAATAAAAATTCGTAAATCACGCCTCATTTTCAACTAGACATTTTTAACTAATGTAGCCTTCGCCCTACGGACACCAACTAGTATAACTATAAGGGCGCTAACTACTTAAAATACCTAAATACTGGTACGATTTGAATAGTTCCTAGCTCTCTTAAAAAACTATCGTTAAAATGTCATATAAATGTTAGAAAATAAACACAAATAGTTTTTTTTTAATAGGTATTCAAAATACAAAAAAAAAAGTTATTGTTTTATAATTAAATTCATAGATTATCAATTTGAATAGGTAGGTATAGGTAGTATAGGTACTTAAACATATTTGAAAATTCAATTTTAACCAAATTAGATAGGTATTTATAAACGAAAAGTAACAATTTTTATCAAACGAAATTAAATTCAAGATATATGAATCTTAGGGCCAGTTGTACCATCTATGATTAAAGTTAATCAGAGTTTAATCATAGACGGTACAACTGGCCCTTAGAGAATTGACACTTTCCAATATGACCTATTTACCTATATTTATATTAACATTTTATATACACGATAATACGATATGCAAGTTATAAAATGTATTCTTAAAATTAAAATCAGTAACACCCGAAACCTACAAAAAGCGACAACACTATAGCGATTTCCTTGGTTTTTTTTTTAAATATAGATAGATGAAATCGATCTTGATCGATCATTATAATATAATAATTTGAAATCCGATATTTGCAGTTAGTTTCAAAAACAGCGAGCGATGACGGATGTTGTTATATTATTGGTCTCGCCGATTTCAGCGGTCTCGAATTTCGGAACGACGACGATTGTGTGAATATTATTCTAATAATTCAGGTAAGTCAGTCAACACTGACGAGTGACGACGACGAGTGGTACACATAGCTGACATCCCACTGCGTGCATTGCTTGTCCCCTTGGATTTTGCAGGTGCTGGATTTCAATTCCGGTATCGTGTGCCGCACCAATCACAGGGGGTAGGGGAGGTACGCGTTTGGAGTGACGACGTCCGCGTAAACAACAGTCTACCTGTAAGTGTTTAGCGTGATGTACTGATGTGTTCCGATTCATTGGTCTACGCATAGTTCTAACGATTTCCGACTGTTTTCAAACAAATCGAGAGAAGGTACGATAATACAATTAATGTGTGACAGGGCATGTGGTATTTCAAATTTCGATACCGGTATCAACGGTAATTTTGGTAACTATACCGATACGTGGTATATTTTCGGTGATTACCACAATACGGAATTTGAGGTGAATGTATATAAAACAGTATTTTCAAACTCAGGAAAATTGAATAATTGTTTTTTAATGAATTATGGAATCATAAGTAAACTCCAATTCAATCCCACTCTATACATAAATAAATTAAAAACTTTTTTGTTTAGAAAATGTACAAGCTGTATTTAAAAAGAAACAAAATAAGTAAATATTATGATTACATTTGTAAGCACAAATATAACAATAGATTTTTACTTGATGAGGGATGCAAACTTAAGATTAATTTTTTTAAATATAGTTACAAATATATTTAAAAATTATCAATAGTTAAGAGGGGTTCACAATATTATCATGTCATGCGTATTCTGAAATATTATTTTAATCTAATTAATAAATATACTATAATATAATTTATTTGAATCATCACTATTATAGTATTATCGAATCAGTAAATAGTCTAACCAGAATGTAACCACACGACCGTAACTTGAAATACAAAACTTCGTGGTAGTAATGATATTATGTTGCGGTAGATACAATAACATTTTTACAACTGCATTTTTGTAAGCCAATAAGAAAATAGTATTTTATACGTTATGCAGTGGCGTATCTACGGGGGGGAGGGGGATAAGGGGGTTATATCAAATTGTGTACACAATACAACATGTATATAATGATGTGAATATAATATGTGTATACTGAATGTCTATTAAAAAAATCATAGATACGCTAACCTTAAACTGACCTTATATTATTATCTACGACACGAGTTGTGAACTTTCTTTTATTATGCAGTATTTTTACCAATTATCGGCGCATGATATTTATTGTAACAATAGTGATTATTGAATCCCAATATTCTTAAATACCAAAAATACCAAATACCAACAGTAACCGGTAAACCAAAATTACCGCTAGCCCGTCTAGCCCTATAAATTGTATGATGATAAACCGTTAATTATTATATGCGTCGTTGGTTAGGTATAGCCGGTGAATTGCAAAATAAAAATCCCCAGACTACAATATTACTCACAACCACATGGAAATGATTGAATAAATATTTTTTAAGCGCTTACAACATTATCAATATTTAATTAGGTACAACGTTCTACTGGCATTTATATCTGCAGATCTCGTTATCGTAAATTATAATTTGGAATATGTGTAAATGTATTGGTATTATAATTTTAAAGTAAAAAGATCTAACAAATCAAGAAGTGTCAAGTAGGTACATTTGTCATTATATATTAAATAACATTCATTAAAATAGATAAATATTTAAAAAAAAGCTATTTATTATAATAAAATTGAGGTGTATAGTATTTTTATATTTTTTAAATGATTATTGTTATGAAATAATTGTAGGTTACTGTAACCTGGTTACTGTATAATATAGAATATAGATTATAGACGAGCGCTTCCCCGCAGTAAGGCATTTGGCTGGCTTATCAAATAATAACGTTAACATAGAATTTAAAAAAATATAAATATATGTAAAATTCAGAATTTTCTAATTTTGATACATAGAAATGTATTATTTGTAATAGTTTGTATTGTATAATTTTTAGTTTCTTTAAGCCTCGTTCACACGATCAAATAATTTGTCAAATATTTGATGTAACTCAATAGAATGGTCTAAATATTGGTTGACAAATGTAATATTGAAATATCGTGTGAACAGGGCTTTAGACCAGCGGTTCTCAAACTTTTTAAATTTGCGTACCACCAGCTACACCGTTTCCCAGTTACAAAAATTTCCGGAAACTCACTGTTCTCACAAGTTATGGCATATCAAAGTTGCAGCGATTACGCGTGTATCGGCACTCGTCGCTACGCTCCTCGGCGCCGTCGCTCCGCTCCGCAAATCGAAAATATCCCCCTATTTGCTGTGTGAACTACCTCAGGTAAACCTCGGTTTTCCTCAATATTGTTTCTAAGTATATTTATTCTCAGCTTGGTCACTCGCTCACCCATTCAAAAGTACCTATATTTTTTAATATTGACAACTTTGAATTGCCATAACTTTTGAAGTTTCCGGAAACCTAACCAATTTTATTATAATTATTATTTTTAGATAGGATCAGAAAAAATGTAACTGTTGTCGCAGATTAACTCTATGATAACGTTATTATATTATGATAAGCCAGCCAAATGCCTTACTGCGGGGAAGCGCTCGTGATTATAGGTAGTTAGAACATGATGATTTCATTGTTGAAAAAACAATTAATTAATGCAATTTAGAATAGAATTTTAAATGTATAACTTTTGACAGTTATTGTTAATACTTTCGTATGAACAAGCACGATGGTTTGGTATCAAACGAAAGATTATGAAACTTCCTACAATATCTGTTATGATTCCAAAATATATCTCTAATCAGTAATCAATAGGAAATAAACCCGGTCAGACTATCAAATATGACAAGTCCAACAATCTGAAAACTAAAATCATGTTTTTTTCCGAAAGTTTTGTTTTCTAAACGGCAGCATCCTCTAAATTACATGTATACCTACACCGTTATACGTTACAATAATATATTTGTTTATACGTGATTTTTGGTATGATGACAACGTTGCAATTTAAAACCAAGTGGACTCGTGCATATGAAAATTGAATTTGCTATATACATGGTTATTTTAAAATCTACACAATTCCACAATCTCGCTTGTGAACAATAAAAAAAAAAAATCTCGCGGAATCATTTTTTAGCCAATTATGCCGCAGTATTTTAATTATATTTTTAAATTGCAATGGTATAATAATTAAAATGTAGGTATACAAAAAATAAAGAATAATAAATCGAATATACGTTTTATTATTATCATTAACCATTATTGTCACAATTGACCACTATTTTTTTTTTTTTTTTATAAACCCTCAGTCTAACATATTATCACCCTGATATTTATATAATCATTGAATCATCCCTTTTGTACAGTGACATCGTTCGTTTTGGACCGCCCTATTTAATACTATACAACTGTGATGATTTTTTAATAATCCGGTAAGCTGCAGTACATTATATACACTTAAAGCAAACGCCGTCATACAATAGACTACAACTTTTAATATCGTCATCAATATAGGGGCACAAAAAAATAATAAAATACTTATCGACAACATAATGCAGTGAATAATGAGTAATGACTAATATAAAAACATTAGAATAATTATTCGACGATAAAATTCTAAATGTATGGTAACCGCGTAGTATAATAATTACCTAGGTAATGAATTAGATGAGCACCTCAATGTACACAATGTATATATTACCTAATTCAAAATATTGTTCTGCAATTTAACAGTAAAAAATTGCGAAAATTAATAATTCAAATAAACTCATCACTGGTATTATAATAAAAATTAAATTATACATTAAAAATAAATTAAATCAAATTTCACTTTAAAAAAATTATGAATATAAAAATTAATTTAGTACGATGAAATTGTTCAGTAAAGATCTTTCATTAATACTAATTTTCTCACTGCATTGCTATAGCCTTCTTTGAAATGAAACCAAACGTCGCTCTTCACAATTTCGTCTCGAAATTCTGTAACGCATCAAAAATGTATTAAAAAAATAATAATAATGCACACCTTACATAATTAATAAAACATTTTAAAGGTAGGTGGTGAAAAATTTTTTTATCGCTTCGGAGGTGGGTTGTGTTTTTTAAAAAAGAAAATGGAATCATTTTAAAACCAGGTCGAGACATTTTTTTTTTGTTTTTTATTTTTTTTAATAAAAACGACACAACGAGCGAGCTCTTTTCAACGTTAACCTATTAATTTTAAACGACGAGGTAGATAGACACACAATATTATATATATTTACGGCGCATAAAAATCCATCGGTGGCTTTTGACATATTGTCGGGATTCACCTCGGGGGCTGAGGGTTTTAATCGAGCAAACAGCGGCACACCGCAAACCTGTTACAGTGCGCGAAGGATGGAAACCGCATTAATAAAACAACCCAACCCGCGCGACCCGGCACGAAGCTCCAGCAGCCGGTGGTGCCTCGTCCGCCGTGTGTCAACACAGAGAGCATATAATAATAATAATATCGGACACGAATCTCATTACGTGTGCAGCATAACAAACAATAATAATCTCTCGAAAACTGTGTACGCAAACAGACGGGACTCGGTGCTCGTGTTTGCGAACGTGTAATTGGCTCGGCACCTATATACACTGCAAGGCGCGCACCGGGCCGCATTATGCGCGATACATAATATTATATTATACGATACACACGACAAAAACCGGTGAATTTTTTATTTATCCTTTTCAACTCGACACAAGCTGAAAACCTGGACGAAAAATTCTTGAATATATATATGGGTGATGGGTAAAATAAAAATCGCAAACGATTAGAGTATTACAGCGGACTCCGTAAATACCTGCGGCCACAGGACGAAAAATAGGTTCGACTCTACAGAAATCTCGTGTAAACAATATTATAATATGAGAGCTATATTCTATTAAAGTGATAAACACAGAACACGATCGCGTATAGCGACACCTTTGACGGGAGATGTGCGGTTGGGTGTGATGGATCGTCTTTTTCGTCGCTGAAAACGTTGAAATCACCACCACCGTATGTACATTATTATTAATTCATCCCGTTTCTAAAGTTTGACGGTTATCTCGCAAAAGTCGATTAATTATTGTACGTGCATTATATGGCCAACCAGCTCCAATAGATTAATATCGTCGTTTGTCACAACAAATTCGCAATAATATTCCTGCATTATAGATGATTATTAATCATAAATATGTACTTACCTATATATAATATATATATATTATATATATACTATATAGGTATTAGGCACACAATTTAAATATTTTTAATCCACCGTTTTATATATATTATAATATGACGGTTTTTTCCTCGAAGTAATATTATTCTTTAATGATCTTCCTAGTCAATCAAATCGCGTTTAAGACAGAAAATAAGATGTAATATAATGGATTATTGAATCATGTATACTGTAAAAAATAATATGTGTAAATTTACACAAAATGTGTGGCAGCACACATTAATAACATCATGTGTGTAAATTTACAGCATACAACTTGTAAATGTACATTCTTTTAAAGTTGAAATTTATTGGTATCTATAGGTAAATCCACGCACCACAGAACCAAAGTTTGAATAAATAATGAAATAGAATAAAAAAGATTAAAAACAAACGATACGTTGGCAAAACTTTAGCTAAAATATTTTTCTTTTATTAATATTTTATATTTTACAATTTCGTATTTATTTAGATTTGAATATGTTTTTTACATGTTTTTGCATTTTATCAGTTTCAAGTGTATATTTACAGCCTTGATTATATAGGTAAAATATATTAATATATAATATGCCTATCTATTATGTTTCTATAGATATTATATTTTTTATAGGCACTCATAGGTTAGGCCTGAGGGGGGTAGCCAACAACACATACACAATTTTAATTATTGGTGAATTTGATTCAATTTTTCGCTTGAAAATTGATGTACCTTTAACTTATAAGAAAAATGATTTAATTTTACTCAGGACTTAAGTATTAGAATTTAAAAATTTAAATTGTTTATGAAATTTTGTTTGGATTTTACTTTAAACTATAATTATCATTATAACTAATTTAAAAACAAATAGAAAGTTATGTAATTTAAATGATGAATTTTAAATAAAATATCAAAGTTGTACAAGTTCTTATAGTTAATGAGTGTTTTATTTATTGTTATTATTTAACTATTCAAGCAATGATATGGTTAATTTTAGGTACAAATTAATTTAATATAAAAACTAATATTGGGTTAGGCAGTCTTAAAAAGCAACTGTAATGTACATCATTTTAGTGCTCCTTAATATTAGTCTCTTTGTGTGCCTTTCCTGCAGCAGCAATATTATATTGGTCGTTAATTCGGCACGCTTACCTTTGTGTTTGTGCCCAGCGGGTGAATCGATTTCGCGACCAAAGAAATCTTTCTTTTTCTGAAAAAAAAAAAGTAATAAAGTGAGTAAATAAATAAACTTTATAAGTTACATTAGGGTTTACGCGGTGGAAGCATGTAAGCACAAACGCAATAACACAACATGGATGACGACGTCGGTGGTAGTGGTGGTGGTGGTGGTAGCGGAGGCAATAGATACCCTTCTTTAAACGACCGAAAGTGGAAAAGAAACCGCCCAACCACAGCCGCACTAACGCTTGAAAATGCACATATAATATATATAACGTATATATATTATACCGTCGTTTTTGTATACGAGTGGGGTTTAATTGATTATAAAATGTATTACGTTGGTTCGGGTTAAACGACTCGTACACAAACCGTACATGGCCGGCGCGCGTTTATATATAACATATATATATGTGTGTGTGTGTGCGTGTGTGTGTCTAAGGACGCAGCCCCTCCATCAACCCCTTAAGTTGGTGTCTCCCGGTCCCCCGTCTAATATAGAGGGCGCGATCGCGATCCCGTGCACGTATGTGTATGTGTGTGTCCGGGACGCTAAAACGGTTTAATGGATCGAAAACCGCTCTGGACCGGACGCGATAGCTAAAACGTATGGAACTACTTTATATCAAAAAGACCAGAGGTCAGTATATGATGTCGGGTCAGGAAATGTTGTACGGGTAAAGTAAGAAACTTGGCGCCTCGGCGTTGGATTTATGACCGATAATGCGCTGAGGAGAGTGGAGGAGGAGAGACTCGAAAGAAAGTGAGTGCCACAGCGGTCGAGGGTTGGATCGGTGGTATATTATGGTGGACGAGTCTGGGTCGGAGGACGAGAATGAATGATGTAGGTGGCCGGGGGAGGGCCGTCGTTTATACGCACGTATATAGCTGGGTAGAACGGAGAGAGTTGAAGGAAAGAAAAGAGGGCGAGGAACATAGACGACGACTATATACGGGACCGCCAACACCACTTCGCCCATACCGGAAGTGACGGCCAGTAATGTCCGGCAATGTTTTATACGCACTACACACATATATATGGTTGGCATTTTCACACCAATGCTTCCCCCCAGCTCCAACACCACCGCTACCACCACAACCACCAACAATCAACAAACAGTAAAGTAACATTTCGGATGTTATTTGAACTTATGCTTGTAATATTATCATTTGAAGCGATAAATTCAAGATCATAAGTTTTAACTACATTTTCGACGAACGAATACAGAATTTCATAAATAACCATATAAATACTTGTTATTTTCTGATTTCGATTCAAAAGTGTTTAGGGCTTTGGCAAATTATTAACAACTAGTTTTTGAGACAAAAATTAATTAATAAAAGCCGCTTATAAAAAATCAAATTGACCTGTATTTTATTTAACATGATCTTACATTAAACATCGAACTAAATTATCTAAATACCTATATATATAACACGAATAAATGTTTATTTTATAATACACAATAAATGCCATAAACAAGAGAGAACCTAGATAATACATTTTAATTATTTTTTTCGTTTGTTAAAAAGTATTATAAACCCTCCCCCCAGCAATAAACACCAACTATCTAAATGCATTTCAAACATGAATAATTTGTGTTCATTCAACTACATACTAAAACAGATTTTAAACTATTTATTTTTAATTACTACTTAAATAATAATAAATTAACAGATTTAACTCATACAAAATATAGAGTAATTAATAATTATTATACCACTATATTTAAAATAATTAGAGCTGTATTATTTGCAACACATTATTTGACCCCCATTGAATATTTTAAATGGATAACAATACATTATTCTCCCGGAGATTTAAATCAACACTTTAAATAGTAAAATAAAAAAATAGTCTCATTTAGGATCGTTGAGTACGATAAATTCGAACAATTAAATATTCATAGAAATTACCATGAATAATTAAATCGTTAACATACCACTTTTTCAACTATAAGTCATATTATTTTTATTTTTTTCAAGAGATCAACGATAGATTATTGACAACTATTCTTGAAATCATAATTCATTACACCTGAAAAATAGTCAGGAATTGTCTTTCGACGGATGCACTCTTATTTATTTATTCTTATTTTATATTTAACGTGTCTTGCTGTTTATCAAAATATATTATATCCTGAACATTACAAAAATATTCTTTAAAAAAATTTAGTCCGTGCTCAATTATTATCAATCATCCATAGATGTTACATAATCATTGTTAAAATTGTATACTAGGACAAAAATTTGTTAACCAAAAAAAGGGGATACAACATTAAAAATCAATTACCTACATCGTAATTACAGCCATATTAGTCATTAGATGCCTAGCTCCAATTAAGATCCATAGCGCCACTCGGAATTAAAAATGAATTATAATTATATCAATGGTTTTTAATTTTAATAAAAGTACATTTAATTACGATCATATAGTTAATACTTTACTTACAAATATGCAATACCTATACATACATTATTAAATTAAATCTTTCCGAAGTCTTATAGAATATTTATACAAAATTATCGATACTCAAAAGTCAAAGTTGAAAACAAATGATACAAATATATTATCCTTAAAAAACCTTCATAATATTATATAATTAAATTATATTGTGATATAAATAAAACACCCATAATCATATGAATTTAAAAAATATGTAATAAACTAATATAATATAATAAATAATAATATCAAAGAATCACTTGCTGTGTACCTACCTACGCCCGCCACGGCCGTCAGATCGAAAAAAAAGGAGTGCATGCACCACCACACAAAGGCTATTTCTTTCCGATGAAATATAGCTCCTTGCGTTACCTGCACTCACGGTGCACCAATGGTAGGCCATACAAAAATAAAAAAATCCTTTTTTTCTCTTCTTTAAATACTGTCATAGCAGCCAGCGCTCATGTCCCAATACCTCATATACCCAAAGTCCTCATATACCTATTAGGTACTATATTATTATATTATATACGACGGACGCGAAAATACCCGTACAAATGGGCCGGTTTGTGTGGTTAGCGAGCAAAAACGTTAAACCAGCCCTATAAGTAGTGTTTACGACCAGGATTTCGATCATACATAGGTATATAGTCGAACACGACGCCACGACGGTATACCACCGTACATATTATGTATCCACTTCGACAGTTTTTTCCCCCACACGCCCACGATATAGAATGTATACCTTAAGCCTAAAGGATACGCTTTAATATATGTGGTTAAAACACCAACATATATGTAACTATATGTTTAGTAAAAAAAATTACTTAATAGTATATGTAATAAAAATATAAAAGGTTATATTATAATAGGTTCGGTGTGTATAAATACTAAATAGGTATGTAAATAGCAAATAATTATTTATAATTTATAAATATTAAAAAATACAAATACAAAATGTTATTGTTTTTATAACGAAATAGTGGAATAATTACTAATTACTAAGGATCATATTATTGTCTCCACTCTTCATCTTGATTGCAATAATGTCATGATTATAATGAGCTATACCTATATTATGTTTATTATCTGGTTATTGTAGATGATTGACCAACGACGTTTAAATAACCGTGAATAATTTCTTGGCATTTAACCGCCATGTCGATATCAAAATATTCGGAGGAAAATCAATTGTTTAAGTTAGGGTTTTTGTATATAAATTAAGTTTTCAAAACCATAACGAAAAATGTAAAATCACGTGTATTTATAAAACAAAATTTATAAAGAGATCATGTAATATAAAATTTAGCATATACTTATAATCAGAATCTTTTGGGACTATAATATTGAAACAGATGTCAAAGTTAGTAAATTGTACTTCATAAAAAATAATATATATAGAATAGGTATGGACACATAAATCCGAGTCCTAATTATAATACTAGGGAGAAGGATAGCAATAATAACATAAGAACCGGTAGGTATATGTATACTTTATTTCGGACAACCTTTGGCACGTCTCATTAAAAAATAATCGCACGGCCTTACCGGCACTCTCGCGCTCGGCGAAATAACGCAAACTCCCGTAATCGCAGAGTAGTTCGTTATACAATGAACAGGAAAAAAAATAAGAGAGACGGAGAGAATGCGCGGTAATAAAGAAATAATAAATAAAATAACATGTAGTCATCGTCGTCGTCGTGTACACACAATACGCGCACAAGATTAATTACAAGTCGAGAGTTGAGTGGCAGCGCTTTTTTTTTAAATTCATTTTTCCTTTATGTTATATTCTCTTCTCCTTTTAGCCAACCTTCCTCCACCCCCACACCCAGACGTCGGTGTCTGAGTTTGGCCACCACCGCTCGCCGTTCCGCGGCGGTCCACTAGATCAGCGTGCGCGATGAAAGACTACGCGGCTTAATGACTTTGGCGAAACTAAGAGGGCGTGACTCGCGCGCGTCTCCGTCTTTTGTAAGTAATACACATCGTTACCAGACAATTAATATTGTATAAAAGCTATCCTTATAATAAAGTGCATTATTTATCGTCCGGACGGCGGACCCGAGTGATGTGTGCTATACATTATTATTATATAGAATGTAATAGAGACCGCGAGCAGCTCCGACCTATACTTAAATATCACGTCATCACACCGGACGACGACATTCGATCGCAGCTAACGTGTTTACAACTACTGCGAACGGCACAATACGTAATAATAATATAAGCGCCTCCAATTTAGGTACAGAAAAAAATATTGATGAGAATTCCAATAAATGATACGACTGATAGAAACAACATAACCTTTGAAGTAATTCGGAGCAGTTTAAGTCCAAACAACATTGTTGTTATACAAACCATTGACCATTGGCCGACAAACCACAATAATACAAATTATAAACACATACGAATACAGTCTTATAAATAAATGTATACAATACAGAGATACAATTATGGACTAGGAAAAAAGAAAAAGGTATTTATTGAAAATCAAATAAAAACAAATTATATTACCTATATATAATAATTTGTAATTTATTACATTTCAGTGGTATAAATATTAAGTTTTATAAATACTGATT